CTTTGATGGTATTTGTCTGCAGTTTAGATATCCCAGTACTTTCCGAGAAGATAGCAGGTTCCTGGAGAAAAGTCAGTTCAACGGAAGCTGGTGAGGATCCAGGCACCTAGTAAGGGTAGAGAGGGGACTGGCCAGCTGGGTTAGAGCCAACAGGACAGGAAACAGTGAAGAGATGCAAGACGCAAAGGAAAAGAGTGAAGGAAAGAACTGTACCAAACTTATGGGTAGAAATGACAAATGAAGAATGCAGTGGAGGAGTGTAAAATCAAATGAGGAACCTGGTGGATGACCAAAAACAACGGTCAGATATGGCGACCATCCACCTGTACTCCTTCATGTTCCCTTAATACCAGTACATGCATTTTCAAATTTCTGACGACTTTGTTGCATTTTCAGATTTCTGATGTCTTTGTTAAATGTGAGATTAAGGTCAACCAAAACTTTGACTTCACTTGTATATGGTAGCAAATGACTAATTAGGCAGCAGCTACAAATCTCTAAGAGAACAGAATAATTTTAGTTAACTTGGCTAAGCAATAAAAACATTATTTTGTAGTACATGGATCACATCAAAAAACTATGGTTGCATTCTTAACTATCTTACAGATTGCATTCCCACCTGGAAACTGCAGTTTAACCAGCTGAACAGTGCCTTAAATACAGAGACTGATCAATAATTACCCACTTGATCACCTGAATTATTCAACTATTTGTTCAATAAGTTCTGGCTGAGCACAACTATGATCAGGCACTGTTCTAGGCATTGGTAACAGAGGAATGAAAAAAAAAAGAAATCCTTGACGAAGCCAGTATTCCAGTCGACGTGAGATTAGAAAAGAAGCAAACAAAATACACACAATATGTAAATACATAATGTTGATAGGAAAGCAATAGGAAATAGGTAAAACTGGGAAATGGTTAGAATTAAAATCAAAGTAGAGGAGTCTATTCAGATAGCAAGGTTAAGGAAAGTCTTTTTAGCAAGGTGTCTCTGAGCAGAGACCTAAGTGAAGTGAGGGAGTGAGCCTTAATACATGGAAGAAGAGTAAGGAGGGAGTGTACTTGGGGAATATTCAAGGTCAGCCTGGGGTAGGAAGGAATAACAGGCACAGGAAACAAGGTGGTGAGGAGGGTATGGCGACGTCTTCAGAGACATAGTCAGGAGCTAGCGAAGACTTGCAGGGAATGCGGATTTTGATGTGGCATGAAGTGTGATGGGCAGTCTTTGGTGGGTACTGCGGGGGCGGTGACACAGCTGGACTTACATTTGAATAGCATCATCCTGGCTGCCCTGGGAGCTGGATTCAAGAGTGAGAAGCAGGTGACAGGAGGCTATTTTGATAGTGCTGGTGCACCATGATGGTGGTTTGAACTGGGATGGTAGGTCTGAAGGTGAATAGTAAGAGTGAAATTTTTATAATAATAGTGAAATAGTAGTTTGAAAGTGCATGTGAAAGAATTCTTTGACACACTGACTATATGATGCAAAAAATTAAAGTCTAGGATAACTCCACAGATTTTGGCAGAAGCAACTGGATGAACGAACACCTGGTTCATTGGCATAACGTATATTGGGAAACTAGCAAGTTTGGTGGTGGTGTTTGCTTTTGGAGTAGGTTGGTTTGAAATGACTGTTAGGTATCTAAGTAGAGCAGTCAAGGAGATAACATGATATGGAGACATACATTGTGGACTTGTCTGCACAAGGCGCCGTGTTGTATGGTGCTGACACTGCTTCAGTTCTTGCGTGCCAGAGTTCACTCTGTATCGAGTACTCACAATGCACATTGTGCTGTTATCCTTTTTAAAAATCACCCTTCCACCCATACAGTATGACCTTTTGTTCTGTAACATACTTAAGAGTTCTTATTTTCTCTGTTACTTGAAAACAACTGAGAATTCTGTGTATTGTACTCAGTGGCCTCATTCATGCACTGAGAAGGTGCCAACTGAACAATTATGGAGCACCTATAAGGGCTGAAGTTAATAGAATTGAAAAACAATTCTAAAGAGCTCCCTAGGCTAACTTTCCTTTTGTGTGGAGGACTGATCAAGGACATCATACCTAATTTAGCTTCAAGGCCATCCTGAAACCATTCTGACCTAGTATAGCCTGGTCACTAGGAAAGTTCAGGAAAGTTCAAAGAGAGTATCTATTAACATCATTAAATAATTTTTTGGACATACTTGTCTGGGCCCCTCCCTTCTCTCACCTATGCTTGGATTTGACTCAGAAAAATCCAGGTTTTGGTAAAGGGCACATTTTACTCCGTGTGTGTTTGGGGGAGGTGGGGAGACACAGGAATGGAGAATTTTCAAGCATTTGTTGTATTATTTGTATCTTTCTTCTCACTTACATAGGTTAAAGTGGGTTGGCTGCGCCTTTCAGTATTTGCTCAGATAGAACTGTCTCTCCCCTCTTTGATTTTTCAGTTGGCGGATGCACATTCGCTGTTGGGTGGCTGTCAGTGATGGTAGGTGCCCTGTCCTTCCTCCCATGTCTGTGCTTTATCATTTCTTCCACCTGGGTGACGGCAGACTGAGTGTGATTCATCCTTTCTGTGTTCCCCATTGTTCTCTATTTTTACAGAAGGTGAAGTCAGTTATAAAGGTGTTCTTTCTCAATCCATTTAAGATTCACTGAGTTAACTGAAGATCATGGACATGTTTCTCTTTTTCAGGGAGTGATTGACTCCAAAGGTCCTAGAAGCTGGGAAATTTTTTTATGTGGCTACTCACCACATCAAGGAAAGTTAGTTTTTTTTTCTTACCAGCATTACGTTTTAGAAGCAATCAGCTGAGGAACACATCTAGCATTGCGGCTGCTGCCTCCTTTACCCATGTGACTTCGTCATCTGAGTCATCCGGCATTGTTTATCTAGGACCCACAGCTTTTATGCTGTCCTTCAAATAATAATGTACGTTATTACACCTGGTAGAAAGTAGTCACATTGATTTAGGGGATTTTTACAAAACCGATTTAGACACCCTGACTTCACAAACTTAGGATCGAGAATTATGATTGTCCTAAGGCTTATGATTATCTTAAGACTGGCAATATACAGACTTGTGCAATGTCGTTTTGACAGGTGAAGACTGAAAATGAAAGCATGTCTACAACCACATTTCTTCAATGTGATAAGTTCCTAGGGCATTCCGGGATTATTTAAAAAATGTGCTTGCTGCCTGCCACTCTGCTACCAAAAATAAACTAGTCTGAGGGGCTAAGTGTTAGAGGACATTCCTGTGCACTATTTCATCTGGGACCATTTGTGACAGCATTCTTGACTTTTTTCCGCCTTTCTTTGTTTTTCCAACCAACCAATTTCTGTCAAAAGAGCTGGGGCTTTTCTGTTGTTTTGTTTTTTACAAAAAGTATTTCTTACTGCCAAAATATATAATGGAAAAAATTAATTTAAGCTGGTAGTGTGTCTTGAGCATTTCACAACATCTAACTATTACGGGGAGTCAGCGCTATCAAATATATGTACTACAATACTGTTTGAGGAGGCAGGAGAGGGGACTGGAAAAAAAACATCAGTGTATTCGAGCCAGAAAATCTGCAGTCATGGAACTCAAAAGTTCTTTGTTAATAGTCCTATGACCTTGAACAAGTTCCTTTGCCTATATGATTCTGGGTCTTCAGCTGTGAAATGTAGCCAAAAATGAGTGTCCGATGCGAGTCTGTTGTGCCCAACGTTCCAGGGTTACACTGGTGAAAATCATCATCGATTTGTACAGACACATCGACAGATACATTGCCGTATTCAAATGCAATGCTCTGTGATTCTACACCGTATGAACGTGGAAATGCGTGCAAGTGCACGCGTCTCCTCCAGTTCCCTGCAGGTAAAGTCTTTTCAGAAAGAACTGAAGGGGGACCGTTGCCCTGCCGGAAGACGAGTCCCAGAGAGGTTTTGCGGAGTGGAGTTGCAGACAAACTGGCTTCGGGGTGCGTAAAACTGAGACCCGAGGTTGCAGTCACTTGACGGGAGGAGAGTCCTTTATAGAACAAGGATAGAAGTGACCGCCACCGAGCGTGGCACTAGGAGGCACGTCTCCAGGAAATGACTCAAGATACTTACAATGTCACCAAGATAGTTACAAATAAATCCGGATACTCACTGCAGGAGGGAGGGAGGAGAGGCGGACAGAAGGACACAGGTTCCAGAGCCTTCTGTTCTTGGGGCTCTGGTGGCCCAGGGAGCGTGCCCTTGAGACAGAGGGCTGGGAGGGCCGCGCGCCGTCGCCTGCAAGAGGTGGTTACCGACCCCAGGGTCTAGGCGCTCTGTCCCGCGCCCGTGCTCAGTGGTTCAGGCGCGACCAGGGCACCTGCCTCGCGCGCCTCCGAGCCCACCCGGGTCTTCAGTTCCACGGTCTCGGTCCCATGCCGCCCGCCGCCGCCGCAGCCCACCGGCCCACCCAGTAACGGTCTCCACCCCGGTGGCCTACGACCCCTCCCCCCACCCGGTCTCGAGAGCCGCAGTGCCACGCCGCGGGCGGAGGGGTAATCCGCCCCGGAACCGACGTGAGCGGCCCGGGGCGGGGTCGGCGGCGGCGGCGGCGGCGGAGGGATCCCCCCGCCCCCGCCCCCGCCCCCGCCTTCAGGCCGGCCCTCGCCGCGCCGCCCGCCCTGCCCAGAGCGCCCGCGCCGCTCCCCCCGCGAGCCCCGCGCCGCTCCCTCCGCAGACTGCCTCCCCCGCACAGCCCTCCCTCCGCGGCTCCGCCCCACCCCGGCCCCCGGCCCCCGCCCCCCGCGGCTCTCACGCACCGCCGAATTCCGCGCTGCCTCCGTCAGAGCCGAGCCGGCGGCTCCGCGGAGCAGCAGCCTCTGCCGCCACTGCCGGGCCACCGCGTCCCTCCCCGTCCCGCCCCCCCGGCCCTCGGAGCCCCGGTCCCTTGCCCCCCCTTCCTCCCCCCCCCCTGCTCCTTCCCTCGCCCTCCGTTCTCCCCGCGGCTGCAGCCCCAACCCGGCCCTCCAGCCGGGCTGCCGGGAGGGCGGCGGCGGCCCCACCATGAGCGCCGAGGACGGTTACAGCGGCGGTCGGCGCCGCGGGGCGGAGAGCGGGGACGCCGAGCCACCCCCGCCGCCGCCGGCGCCGCCGGGGGAGCCGCCCTCGGTCCCCGCGCCCCCGCGCTACCTGCCGCCCCTGCCCGCGCCGCCCGCGTCCCCTGAGCGCCTCGCGGGGTCCGACGACCCGCCGGCTGGGGTGGTCCCGCGGCGCCGGGGCGCGGACGAGCTGCCGCCGCTGCCCCTGCCACCCGCCGGCCAGGAGGTGTCGGCGGCTGGCGACTCTGGGGAAGGTCCGCGGCGCCTGCCGGAGGCGGCAGTCCCCGAAGTGGCGGCGGGGAAGGGTGGCCCCGGGGAGTCCGAGGCCGGCGCGAGCGGGGAGGGCGAACGGCGGGGCGCCGGCGACCAGCCCGAGACGCGCTCCATGTGCAGCAGCCGCAGCAGCAGCAGCGGAGGCGGCGGCGGGGACCAGCGCTCCGGGCACCAGCACCAGCACCACCAGCCTATCTGCAAAATTTGCTTCCAGGGCGCGGAGCAGGTGAGGCCGGGGGACCCCGGAGCAGGTGGAGCGGGCTCGCGCGGGACGGGCGGGTTCTCGCTCGCGACGGCCGAGCTTTCAGCACCACGGACAGCGCTCGCCTCTCGGCGGCTCCGCTCTGGGGCTGGGCTGGTCCCGCCGCCGGAGAGGCGGCTACTCCTGTGTTTTCGCCTTTCCAGTTCTCTGAAGGCAGATGAAAATGTCCCGGCGGCGAATACAGGGTTTCATTTGATCTACACATTTTTTTTTTATACCTCGTATTGCAGTTACACATTCTTCAGGTGCTTTAATAATAGTGCCATAAGTATCTCTTATTTACTAAACAGACTTCGGTTTATACAAAGGAACAAACCTGTATCCTTTTTCTACAATTGTGTCCTGAGACAGATGTCTCAGAATACAAACTGGGGTGAGTCATGACAAAACCAAAAGGGCAACGTCCTTCCTGATTGCAAATTTTAGTGACTTAATCTCAGTGATTTGACAAACATGTTACACTTTTACAAGAGAAGGGGAAACGTACTTTAGCCCTGCAAAAGAAAGGCTGTTTAGGCAACCATGTAGTTTTATATTTTGTTAGAAACGATTCTAAAATATAAACTCCATTAGAGGTGCATGCAAACTTACATGAAAGTACTCATGGAGACAACAGGATAATACGTCACTCTTACAAAATGTGTGGTTTGAGAAAACATTAGGTTTAATATTTTTAAAAGTAAGGAAATTGCGTAAGAATATGCAGGCTTTCAGGAATATAGTGCCCTAAGTCAATATTTATGATGCTACATTTAGAAAAAAATAAAAGCATAATGCTATTGCAAGCTACTTTCTGGGATGCCATGCATTTCTTCTTGAGCAATGATTAAGAATAACTGCAGAGGAAATGCATCTGACCATCCACTTACAAGTTATTAAAGAGATTTAATAGTACAGCTTTCCCCCAAGAGTATTGGGAGCTGCATCTTCCAAACATTTTGTATGTTGATAGAACATTTATGTCGTAACTCTAAGCAATATCTTTGAAATAGTTTGAAGACTTTATTTTCATTCCCATCAGAGGTATAAAAATTTAATTTCATTTTCTAGGATAGAGTTTGATGCTGATATCTTTCTGGGTAAATGACTTTGAAAGAAAAGAAAGCACGTGTTAGATTTTAAAAATAGAGACATGGGCATAAATATTCACACTGAGCTGTTTTCTTTTCAGGGGGAGCTGTTGAACCCCTGCCGATGTGATGGGTCAGTTCGGTATACACATCAGCTGTGCCTGCTGAAGTGGATCAGTGAGAGGGGTTCCTGGACTTGTGAACTCTGCTGTTACAGATACCATGTCATAGCCATTAAAATGAAACAACCTTGCCAGGTAGACATTTTGACCTTTTTTCCCCTGAAATAGTTTTGCTAGATCTAAGTGCATTGGAGTTTAGTTGTTACTAGGGATATTTACATATACTACTTAACAACATGTTATACAAATCATGGTAAAATCAAGATTTAGAATTTGTAGAGATGTGTTTTGAGAAATCTGTGACATTTTTTATCTGAGAAACTCAAAATACATTTTGTCAAATGGTTTCTTTTATTAATTTGTTAATTAATGATGAAATTATACACATCTTTGTTTCTAAAATGGTAAATGGATAAAATGTCTTATACTCCAATTAGATTAATTTTATTAGTTAGAAATACAACTTATTTTAGTAGTACTTTGTTAATTTAAGCATTGAATCCCCTGATGAGGGGTCTATAAACCCCTGTTTATAGAAAACAAATGCAAGGAAAGCAAAACTTTACTAGTCTGGAAACTTTGGTTGACTCTCTATTCAAAGAACAATGATTAAAACCTAGTTCTAATCTGAATACTTTTTTCAATTCACTAGGCTTTCTTTTTCTTTGTTTTCTTTTTTTTAAAAAAGATTTTATTTATTTATTTTTAGGAAGGGAGGGGGAGAGAGAGAGAGAAACATCAATGTGTGGTTGCTGCTCATACTCCCCCAACTGGGGACCTGGCCTGCAACCCAGGCATGTGCCCTGACTGGGAATTGGACAGGCAACCCTTTGGTTCACAGGCTGGCACTCAATCCACTGAACCATACCAGCCAGGGCTAGGCTTTCTTTTTCATGAGGTTTTTCCATAGTTAAATTTTCATTATTCTCATTCTTTGCTGTGGTCAAGTACATAGTGGATGCAGAAATATTCCTAACAGTTAAATTTCAATAATACTACTGAAACTGTATATATTCTTAAACTTTTTTGTGCATAACCACAGAACAACACAATACCCATAAACCTACAAATATGCTGGAGAAATAAGCTTTATTTTTTTTGTTTTGGACATGTGGGAACTGGTTCAGTCTTTTGAAAAGACCGATGTAATGTAAAATACAAAACAGTAAGAATGACATCTTGAACCAAGGCAGAGTAATGTGTAATTGACAAGATTTAGTAGTGACAAAGGGCTGAAGTTAAGCAGATATAAAAGAGTAAGGTAAGGATCATAGCACAGAGACAGAGGAGGTAATGGAAGGGAAAGGAGGAGGGAATTAAAAGTTAGGAAGGAAGGAAAGTCATGAAACCTAGTGTTCACTGTTTCTTTTTAAAATAACAAAATTAGTTTGCATTGAGTAGTATAAAATAGGTGAAATTGTTAGTGTTTGCAGAAGATATCTGGAAGCTGAAGTGCTACTGCATTAATAATTTACATTTCATAGTTTTTAATTTGTGCAGCTTTCACATAATTTGCAATTAATTTGCATCTTTGATAGTCACCATTTAAGGCATGATTATCAGGCATGAAATGAAAATATTAATTTTCTCAAACTGACCTAAGGCTTATAAATAATTTGAAAAGAAGAATAACTAGTGTGGGTGAGTGATGTTATCATGCTGAAGAGAGACATGAACCTGACACACTTCCTCAGAAACTCTGATTGAGTGAGCTCCTTGGATATAAATTTTTGGATCCATTACAGTTGTCTTGAAAAACAAATGGAATCATATTCAAAGACCAGGATGAGAGTAATATAATTGAATTTACAGTAATTTTGCAAATAGAAATATGTAGAAATGGCAAATGGAGAGCTTTGGGACTCTAGTGAAAGTCTCATGAGAACTGTGTGGTCGGATGTTCAAGCGCTGAAACAGAATGTCAAGTATTTCAAAAAATTTAAACTTATGCTACAATATATTAATTCATTTGGGATGATTACTGAAGTAGGTATGAGTCCTTGATACAATTTTAAAATATAGAGGAGACAAAATGCTAGAGCAAAAATACAATTTACATGCAATTCTAATGCTATAGCAAAATGAATGAATTACCATTGTGTTTTGCTTCATTAAAAAACACATAATAATTATTTTAACAGAAGCAATTTCCCCAAAAATATGTATGTTATGGCAAAAAAATCAAAACAATAAGCAACCAAAACAATAAGTTAATCCAATATTACTAAACATTTGGTTTAATTTTATGACCTATTCAACCTCATCTGTAACCTCATCTGTTTGTTGCAGTGAACTAGAAAATAATTTTTAAAAACAAAGTGGTTATGAGTGTAATGACGATAGCTTAGATCATGCCAGAGATAATAACTTTCCAAGACTGCAGGGTAGGTATGTAAAGCTCAGTACTCTTAATGAACAGAAACCAGTTAAGAAGTTCCCGAAGTGTGGATCCTTAGACCTAGGAGTAGTTTATTCTCAGATAAAGTTTGACTAATTGTCTGACATTTCTTTTATGGACGACCGATAAACTGAGCATTTACTCTTGAGTTTTGGTTTCCTCCTGTGCTGGGGTGAGGCCAATTAGATTTAGCATTTATTGCATTCATTGCGGCATGGCAGAGATCTTCCCCCTCACGGCGCAGGATCAAATAAGGAGCACGTTGGGGGCCTCACCTTCACTTTCCATCACCCTTCGTCCTAACTATAGAGCCTTCATATAGCTTTGAGCAGGTGGCTTCTTGGATGTAAAACAGAATAGAAAAGAAAATATAAAAATATTGGGAAAGCATTTTCTGAATACTTACTCTTTGTCAGGCACTGATCTAAGTGCTTTGCATATACCGATACTGATACTTAATCTTCATTATAAATTTAGGAAGTAGAGAATATTGTTATCTTTTTTTCTTTTTTTTTTAATACAAAGGGAAGCTGAGGCACAGAAAAGTGAAGTAGCTTCTCCTAGGTACCTGTCAAGTAAAAGGCAAAGTCAGGATTCAAACTTAGTCTGGCTTCTAGCTTCATCGTCTCAGCCACTGTCGGAAAGCGTTCTCAACTCTGTTGATGTTTTGGGTCAGATGGCAGCTGGTTTCTGGTTTGGGTCAAACAGTAAAATGGTCCAGAAAGACTTTTACTATTTATTGCTGCACAACAAAACTTCTCAAATACTTAGTGGTTTGAACAACTATCATTTACTCTCTCCTAAGACTCTGGTTGGTTGAGGTCAGCTGGGAGGTTTTCCACATGTGGCACCAGTGTGGAGCTATAATCATGCAGAGCTGTGACTGGACTGAAACACCCAAGGTGGTGCTGTCAGGTGTCTGGAAGCTCACTCAGGTGGGGCTGTCAGCTGGTGACTCAGTTCTCTTTCCATGTGACTTGGACATTTCACAACATTGGGTTGGATTCCAAGAAAGCGGAAGTCACAGATCTCTTTAAGGTTGGACCTTGTAAGTGACAGTTCCATGTCTGCTGCATTCTCTTGATCAGAGCAAGCCACAGGACCACCTCAGACTCAAGAGAAGGGAAGATGGACAAGTGGCCTCCACCTCTGGAGTTGGCCTTTTTTCCCCCTTTTTTAAGACTAGCCATCTTTAATTTACCGTAAGAGCTAGCTTCTAAAATGGCTGTTTACCTACTCTGGTCTCTGCATTCGGTCCTCCTCAGGTCCATATTGGTCAGCAGGCATTCACTGTAATTTCCCTCTCACGGCTCAGAAACAAAAAAAGGTTTAAAAAATGAATGGGAGGGTGACTCCATTAGTGGCGCCTCATGCAGAAGGGAAAGGAGCATTTAGCCGGGAAGCAGGTGTGCGTGTGAGGGAAACATGCTGCCCTGAGTCTAAAACCTTAGTTTTACTTGTTTTTCTCATTGAGATCAGAAATTTCTGAACATGTGGGTCTAAACTTCCCCATTTCATTGAATTTTGATGATGTTGAACAACACGACCCGATAGAAAACTGATGCAGTTTCTGTAACGTGTTTAAACCTCAATTGCTGTATCATTGGCAGTAGGAGTTAATTAAGACATTTGAAGTAATTAACGTGCCTTTACCCTTCTACCTACTTCTAGAATGTATTTTATTGATTAACATAGTCAAGATGATGCATTAATGATATTTCAAGAGTAAAAGCCAATTGTGCTTTGAATCTCATAGTATGTAAAACTTGTGAAACATTAGAATGTTAAGATCAGATATATTTTTAGATGCTAGGGGCATTGTAAACTGATTAAGCTATGTTTAAGTTTGTGAATGCTTTCAATACTTCGTCAAGAAATACAAATATTTGAAGAGGTAACTTTTCCTCGATGAACAGTTGTATGGGGAACTTCGTCTTGCTGTAGGAAGCAGACTGTACTTCCTTTACATAGAAAAATACAATGTTTGTGGATGGTAACAGCTATCTCACTTGGGACTAATTACTTTAACTCTTTGTGCCTCCATTAATTCATCTTTAAAAGATAATAATGACACCTAGTTTATACATGATTTCGAAGATTAAATACATAAATATACACAAAGTGCTTAGAATAGTGCCTGACACATTTTAATGTTGGCTCTGATAATTATTACATGTTTTAACAGATGAGGACATTCAGTTGCTCACAGCAAGAGCGCTCACAAGTCTCTATGGTTTTCTTAAGTCTTACTGTCACCTAAGTGAAGTTAATGACTCCTCTTTTCATTTCATTCTTTATCCGTAGATTTTACTTCCTTTTTCTGGGAGAACCCATCTCAGTTTCTGGCTAAATTTGTTACAGTGAATAATGAATGAATCAGCATTTTAAAAATCAGGTGTAATAATATACAGTGATCTCAGCACTTGGAGTGTATTTACTCTCTAGAAGCCCCTTCCCATGGGATGTTGCTGGAGTGATGAGATGCTATTATAGGCGGCTAAGCCCAGGACAGTGTTATTTAGGGCACTCAAGCACCCATTGTTTGTTTATATTTTGGCAGGAGGTGGAGAAGCTCCTCAGAACGGGAGTAGGGGTGATGGGTGGCGATAATCACAAAGGGGCACAGGCAGGTGACCAAGCATCAGCCCTGATTCGTGGTGTCTGTCAGGTTTCCTTCCCCCTCCTTTGTTACTTAGGAGGGACCAGGAAGGTCCTACCTGGGAAGGGATGAAGACTT